GTACAGAACCGGGACCCCCAGGACCCCTCACGGGGACAGCGACGGCGTGGGAGCCATGGGGAGGCTCTGCCGAGACAGGAGGGACACGGGGGTGGATTTTGGGGGGACGGGGAGGGGGATTGAGGGGTCTGGGGTTGGATTTGGGGGTCACGGGGTCCGGCCTTACCGGGGCTGGGACCGTGTGGTTCTGTCCACGGCGCCGCTGGAGGCCTGTGAGGAACAGAACCGGTGGCACCGGGGGCCAGGACACCCCAGCAGGGCGGGATGGGGGTCCCTGGGCACTGAGATCCCTGGAATTCCGAGTTCTGGACCCCCTGGAATTCCCGGTTCCGAGCCCCTCTCCCACCTCTCCAGCCCGCGGCCGCAGCCCCCAGCAGCAGCAGCAACCCCAGGACGGCGGCACCGAGTGAGACCGGCAGGAGCCAGGAAGGATCTGGAAGGGAGAGAGGACAGGGGGGCATCACCGGGATCCAGCACCGGGATTCAGAACCGGGATCCAGAACCAGGAGCCGTGAGCGGCTCAGGGATCAGCCCAGGGTGGTGCCGGTACCGTTCCCGTTCCCGTTCCCGTTGCCGTTCCCGTTCCGCAGGGTCCCGGCGGTGCCCGGGGCTCCTGTGGCGGTGACATCGCTGGGCTGACACTCGGCATCGCCCAAACCTGGGGAGAAAAAAAAAAAACAACCCCGGATTTGGCTGCGGGACAGCCCCGGGATGGGTGGGACGGGGAATCCCCCCCGGGATGAGCCCCCCACACCCACCCGAGCTGCCGGTGCCGCGGCTCAGCTCCGACTCCAGCCAGGCGCTGCCGTTGTGGCTCCGGTACCGGCACCGGGAGCACCGGGCGGCTCCGGGCAGGGAGAACTCGACCCAGTGCTCGTCGGGAGCGGCCGGGATGCTCCGAACCAGGATGGCCGGGATTCCCTGGAAAAGCTCAAAGGTGCTCCCGGAGAAACGTCGAGGGGCCAGGCAGCGGATCCGGGGGGGCCCCGGCTCCGGGGGGAGCTGGAGCAGCAACGGGGCCGGGAGGAGCCTCGGGGTGGGCGTGGGGCGGTGCCGGGAACCGCGGGAATCCTGGCGGGAACCCCGGGAATCCTGGCGGGAACCCCGGGAATCCTGGCGGGAATCCTGCCGGGAATCCTGGCCAGACTCGTGGCCTGCCTGGCTCAAACACGAGGGAAACGCCGCAGCCACGAGGAGCAGCAGCTCCAACCTCATCCTCCTCCTCCTCCTGGAGCTCCCCGGGAATGAGGGATGAGCCGGGATGTGCCGGGAAAAGCCGGAATGTTCCACGCCGGGGTTCAGGGAGCAGGAAGGAAGCGACTGCTGGGCCCCAGGAAATTGAGTTTTTCATCCATTGCGCAAAAATGTTCTTTTTTTTGTTTTGTTGTTGGTTGGGGTTTTTTTTTTTTCACCCGAAGCTCCGAGCTCGGGATGGGGAAATGCGGCTCCTCCAGGGGGGAACAGATTTCTGTGGCTGGCAGTTGAGATCTTCACATGAAAGGGATGGAGGAAAGGACCCTGGACACCCAGATCTGCCCCAGGGACTCCAAAATCTACCTCAAGACCCCCCCAAATCTGCCCTGAAATACCTCAAATCTGCTCCCCACCCCCAAATCAGCCCCAAACGTCTCCAGGCCCGCACCTGAACTGCAAATCTGCCCCCAAATCTGACCCCAAATCTGCCCCCAACCCTGCCCGGGCTGTGCATTGTGAGACCTCGCCGGCTCCGCCAGGCGGCGCCCGAGAACCGCGGGGATGCGGAGGGGGCGGAGCTAAGATGGCCCTGACCAATCAGAGCTCAGAGCGCCGCTGAGGGAGCAGCCAATGAGCGCAGGGGGAGGCTGGGACAGGAGAGGACCCCGAGCCTGGGGCGGCCTCGGCGCCGCCTGAAAAATTCCGGGATCAAAGAACGGGATCAAACAAACACCGGGATCAAACACCGGGATCAAACACCGGGATCCACCGCCTGCTCAGCAACCGGGATCCGTCCGCGGCATCGCTCACCGGGATCCGCCACCGGCATCGCCATCAGGCGGGGTCCCCGCGTCCCCTCCCGCCTCAGGCGGCGCCGCGGGCAGCCCTGGGGGGGCCTCCCTGAGCGGCGTCGCGCGGTGATGGCGCCGCCCGGAGCCCGGCGGATCCCGCGGGGTTTTGATCCCAAATTTTCCCCAATTCCCGGGTTTCGCAGGCGGGGCCGTTGTCGTGAATCCCGCCCGGGATT